CCGCTTTGAACAACATTTAAGTTATATAACAGCCTGCTAATGAATAATAGATATGTAACAGCAGTTACTATACGAACAGAAAACCAACATTAAAATAGCCAATCAGTTCCAATTATGGATGCCTGCAATGACATGAACACGTGTTCACTGCCCATGCTACCTTCATGCATAGGAAGGTCACTGGGTACGGCTAGGGACATGGGAACTGCAGTAAGATATTCATGTCCTGCTGATTTGCAGCAATTATTCATGTCATGCCTGGTGCAACATGTCAGATATGTATGGGTGGTTCGAATTAAAACAAGCCATGTGGCGGGATGGTACAAGGGAAGAATGTGTTTGAGCATGTTAAAACCCTGTATTCTTTACCCAGCCACATCCTTCAATGTTTGGGTTATATGTTTATGAAGTTTGGGAACAGGAACCTTGGAAGTGTATTCTTGTGGTCAAGAATGATTCGACACGCTGTGGCTTCATTGGCTAAGCCCCTCCCTAGACCATATGGTATTTTGGGTTCTATGTTTGGTAAGTGATAACAGGGAATGCTTGAATGTTTGTCTGGACTCTGTGTTGTCATAACAAGCTCCATTCGCACCTAAACTAACCAAGCCCATCAGGCGCTGGCAGAGCAACTTGAAGACCTGTTAAAACCTTCACGTCAGGCATACAAATGTTATGTCGATGGATATGCGATATGATTTTCACATGTGGGACAGATCAGATGGCAAACTGGGCGCCATTCCTGTCTGAAATGTGACAGTTTGATACTCTCAAACCTGTGAAACTCGCATATTACTTCCGACTTTGGTCCCCACGGGGTCTAGCGTTTCCACTGTACCGGATGACAGCCATGCCTGACCCATGATACCTCCGGTAATATTATCACTGATCAGGCAAAAAAGTCCATCAGAACCGGAACAGGCATTTACACAAAGTTTGAGTTCAAATAATAGAGCTGTTAAACTTATGTTTTCATTTCGTATTTTCTCATAAGACTCGATGGCCATTGCCCGTACCACCCACATGGAAGAGCTGACCACCTGAAGATGATTATAGTCACGTGGTGAGACTTGAGCGTACCCCAGGATCACCATGGGGAATCCTTGTTCTTTGAATTAAGCATCTCTGGAGTTGATTAACCCATTACTCCAGCTTAGCAGAAGACTCTACGGGATATGTCTCGGTATTTGGATTATCAACATCTTTTATTCCATATTCAGGTGAATGAAAAGAAAAAAACCTTTGATCCTTCGGATCAGTAAAATATTTTAACAACGTGAATCCACACCTTATGAAATTATCCACTTAAATTGTCCAAATATTTTCAAACAGCAATTATAAGGCTCTTTTGAAAGAATATTTAGGGATCGCGAAATCTGACCTTGTCAGAAAAAAGGTCTATCCCCAACAGATTGCGATCGAAACGCTGCCCTCAAAAGACAGAGCAATTTGCGAGAATAAAATAACAGACGAACCCCACAAGAGCAAATAGCTGTGGCTTTGTTCAGTGAATCACAGCATAGCGGTCAAGCCGGACAATAAAATGCACTCCATGGCTAGCCATATCCGCCATTGGGTTTCCAGCAGATGACCACACCACTGTCATCAATCAGCTAAACTTGAGACATGCCGAGCCGCATTAACAAAGACGCGTATTGTTTATTTCTGTTATTCGGGTCAACATATATCTTAGTGACATATATAACACAGAGGGGACATTCCATAAATAATGTCCATCACCCCGAGCATCAAGTCCAACGCCGTTGTCGTAAAAGTTAATTCCAACCTGCTCCCAATAATACATTTCTCACTTGAAATGTCAGAAGGAGTGATGGTCAACTAGGCTGGACAGCCACGATATTGTCCAGGATCTCATACAACCACGTGTTGCTTAAAGGGGCTTCGGGGGGATTGGGATAACGCGCTATCCTCTTTGATGACCGGTGGCCGCAGTCACTGGACATTAACACGGTTATGCGAGCAGGACGTAAGTTTATTGTAGGTCTATGGAGTAACCTTGCACAGTTCAACAGGGCTCTTTGATTGACAATTCCATGATGTAAAACAGCTGACGGGTTGCCCAACCCTGTCCCCGCCTCCTTAGTGCAATCCTGCAAACTAGCAGCACTTGGAAGATTAACGCGGTGCTTTTGATCTCATGGGATGCACAACGAAGGGTTTTATTAATAGATGTCCAATGACCTCGTAACATTGTTCGTATATTTAATTTTATGACCTACCGATAATCAAATACATATCAACCCCAGTCTAAGAAATCGTGGAAGAAATTCTAATGTTGCAGTCTATGATAGGAGCCATAGAAGCGGTAAACATTGAAACGTTCGAGACAGTACATTGGTACGCTTCATTAAAGAAAAACGCCCAGCCCTTAAATATCTTTATATCCATCCACCTCTAATCGATTTATACCATATCGTTAAACTAAAACCATGACATCACTTGATATCACATGCAATATTTCAAGTTAGAAATAATTGTCAATGTTTTAAAACTGTCGCATTCATAAATTAGTTGACGTCACACATGCATTAAAATACGAAGAGCAAAACTACATTTGGAGTGTCTGTCTTTTAACATCTGGTTATTGGAGAATAGGGCGGTGTATTGAATAACACTTATTCGTAATTTGCGAAAAATAGATAGCCAGAAGTTACTTAAGAGGCGGATACACCCTGTAGTCCTATATAGCAAAATCCGTCATGTGCAACCGACGAGGTTGGGGGATGAATTGATGTGATGAGGCGAAGAGACAAAGCGACGAGACTGCGGCAAGGACAGGCATTTGACATGTTCGGGGATAATGGTGCATTTGGCATGTACGGAGTTAATGGTGGGTAGAGAACGAGGATGGACGTTTTCTGACCTCAACAACAGCTGAGCAGTAACATATAAAGTCTACAGGAAACATGCTTACCTTGATAAATCAGAAACTTGAAAATAAACTAATTCACTGGTAAACGTTGAAGTTGATGTCAAGGTTGTGATTAATGGTTACTTCAAGTGTCAAACTTCTTTACAGAATATAGTGCTGATTTGACAGATTGTAAAGCAAATATGTTAAATATTCATTACTAATTTCATCCCTGATTGTTTATTCTACGATATATCCTGAAATGAAAGTCCATTAGTGAAAGACCGGTAGCTGCTATTCACTCAGGGTTGTACATTAATTTAATGTCTATCACAACACATTCGTGGTTGTGACAAGCAGATCGCTTCTGGCAGGTGCCCGCTGCCATTGTGGACCACTAATAGCTACAATCACATTCCTACTGGAACCACTAATGGCCACAATCACACCTTTAAGATTGCTACTGCACACATGTTCCACTTCGTCTATGCCTGAAGAAGATCGCAAACTTTGCTAGTTTCTTCACTTAGCTTTATATGCTACTTCGAATTCCATCAAGCTTTCTATGCTACTTCGATTTCCAACAACATAGTCCGTTTTGACATAAAACACAACAATTTCATGGATTCAGTTTTTGCCATTAAGTCTCCCATTTTATCTCCAAGTTTAACAATGAAAAAACATTCCGTTCACGCTACAAGCATGTCAACTGTTCACATATCTGCCATTTTAACTCGATGTCCGAGTATAAACCACTTTACAGTGTTTACTTTTGACTAGATTGTTGCTCCAACAGTGTTAGAGTGCAATGTTTGTTGACACGAGTAGTCTGATATCAGGAGTATCTTCGCTATATCTCCCCTCACGTAATATTTGCAAGCTGGGGGCAATGAAGCGATGAAAATGGCGTAAAACAAAGGCCAGATCTCAGACGAGGAGGTTATCTCTCCCGTGCTGTGTTGACTGTAGGATTCCCTTCGCCCACGGGGCAAATACAGGAAGAATAGGGAGGACAGTGCGTGCCATGGTGCAGAGAACCGGGGGCAGCAACACCAACATGAGAATAAAACAATGAGGCAAAATATTGAAGTTAGCAGATACGTGTTTTATATCCGATAGATGGGTTTCTGGGGACCTACTGTTTTCGTGAAAGTCGACACAATGGTTGGCATTAGAGATGAAAGAAGCGCATTAAGTGATAAACGTCATCCCATTTGTCTTGATTTTAGTATAAAGTTTTAGAAAGTGTATCAAAATAATCTTCAATAAAAACACGGTATCTTCACTGATAATAATGTGAGTTGTCAAATATTGATGGTACAAACACTTCGTGGATGTACTGAACAGGTTTGTTATGAACATTGAGAAAGTTCATGCGGTGGCATGTAATCAAGTATCTCTAAACAATACAGTACAAATATAAAACCCCAAACAACCTCCCCACACACACACACAAAAAAAAATGATGAATGAATTAATGTTTGTCATATATTACCTGTAATGTCATATACACTTTTATAACCGTTCAAACGTAAACCATTTTGATCAATACATATGTGGTATATACTGATGTATAAGATTAATGAAACAAAATGACATTTGCGGGAATATCAGCTAATCTAAGACAATACGAATCAATCATAATCAATCATTGGTTCTGAGTTAATGACAAGTAAAGCCGGCTCACTATTATAATACAGACTTCATCACTGAATATGACTATCGCCCGATCACATGACAAACACCAATTAATCAAAACGACATGAATATATTTATCTCGATTATTCAAAATTAGAAGTTGTCGGAAAGCATAATTTCGCAAGTTATAAATTATCAGATCTAAATAACATCATGAAATTTATGAAAATAATATCTCGTTTTATCTGAGCTGTAACATGATGAAGTTTGGGATAACAATCTTACCTATCGTAAAAGTGTCACATTAATTTCTTCTGTGAGTACGCAATGACACAATTATCCCCTAGACGAGATGGTACAGCGATATCATTTAAACTGCGAACGTTACTATAGAGACCGGGCTGGCAGATGTCGATTGTCGTCTGCTGATGGAGGCTATCGTCTGACTGCTACACGAAACAAAGCCGAGAAACACATAGTAAAAACTCACCGTATATGGAAAATACAAATATCCAACGTCTCTGTTGATAGTCTGTGGTATATGCACAAGCAGTTCAGCTATGTAATCCAATATATTCCAAATTATAAACACAGATATCGTCCGAACTGTCCGCAACGGTCTTCCTCTCTCCACTTCTCGTGGTTCAATGTGTACATTCGTAGCCAAATTGAACGTGCCGCGGTACGTGACGTCACAAGACTCCCTCTGGCGGCCAATCCGGAGACAGCAGCAGCTGCGCGGCTGGGTTGGGGGTTGGGGAGGGGTTTCAATGCGGGCACTGGGGCAGAACGACGGATCAGATGTCTGGAAGAATTCAACACACCACCGTCACTTTCACACTGAGAGCTTTGGAAGCAGTCGCACCACACAGTTTTCTAGACATTTCATTACTGATTATAATAACAGAAAATATGGGTCGAAATATTTAGCGTCTATGATTTTGAGTTCAATAGATTTTGTCATGGGAATAATTTACAATTCAGTTTCAGCTGAAAACGTGTTCATAGAATAAAACCATTCACCATTTTTTTGGTAATTACTATTCAATTACTTTTTTTAATACTGAGGTTTTCAGATTTTTTTCTGATCGAAATCACTGAATTGTGCCGATCAGACCAAACATAGCTTGTTGAATAATTTAGACTTTAATTCCAACGTGATTGTGTGTACTTGGAGTCAGTGAAGCGTGGCTATCGGGAGTTAAAGGGTCCTGTATCACCGTGTTACCTGAGGGTATTGTTATGGGGGCATCGTGGACGTGTTTTAGGGCCCTTGTTTCGTTATTTAGGGTCCGCTCCCAGGAAATGACCAGTAATCTCCCAGTGCTCATGCATCGTTTAGTAGTGAAATTTACGCTTTGACTTTAGACAATAGGATTGTGAACGTAGGAGGTAATGATGAATCAATTAAAAGTTTGTTATAGCCCCTTGAATGTATTCATGGGGCAATTAAAAGTTACTGATTCGGAAATTGTGTGAGATTTTTTTGACTCGACATATATTAACACCTTTCAACACCTTTGGGTTCAATAAACTTATAAAAATGGCATTGTCACACAATGAACACCTTCACGAGTGTTGACTCGGCATATTCACACACTTTACGTTTTGTATGTGTAACGCATATATTTGACTTGTATATTCAACTACTGCTGCTACTAGCCTACTACTACTAGCACTACTACTACTACTACTACTACTACTACTACTACTACTACTACTACTACTACTACTACTACTACTACTACTACCACCATTACTATTACTACGACTGGTGGTGGTGGTGGTGTTGATGTTGGTAATAGCTGTTGTTATTTTCATCGTTTCCGTCATTAGAGAATTTGTAGACGGATGAGTATCGACACTGTATAGCGTTATCCATTTAAAATCTATTACATCTATGACATTCTGCATATCCCCCAAAATGCACTAGAATCTGCACTTCACTGAGAAAGTGTAATCCCAAGTTTAACATATGTTCTTCTTCATGTACATTATATATAAGCAAACAACTGTACTCCTGTACATTGTATTCATATATGAATAACGTATTCCAAGTTATGACAGGTTAAGCAAAACTAACAAAACTAGAAATTATTTCACATATGATAGAGTGCACCTTGCGATGTCAAGTGCCAAGAGAATTTCTACGATTTTAATGTGTTCAAAGCTGGACCTCAATTTGCGATGGTTATTGTGTATCGCTAAACGCTATCATTTCTTTCCGGTATGTACATAATGACATATAATGACCAACAATGAGTCTACACTCACACTGTGTACAATCTTTGACGTAAACAATTAAACAGAAGTTATTCAAATTTATTTCAATTAAATCACATCCGTTCGAATGCGACCATCCGCCTTAAGTGAAAGTAATTCCCCATAACGAAATTCTCTGAGGGCGTCGTTAGAATATGTCATTGTCTATAGCTCAATCACTTAGTTAATGACAACTGTGAGATCGTATGTAGGTTTAATTGGTCATCTCTCTGAACTCACCCAGGGGCTGCGGATGGGGTGGGGAAGTCACATGACCGAGGCTAATCTATGTAAATCAGAAGAGATAATCTCGAGCACGCGTCTGCGAAGTCACCCCCCAAGAAATCCCCAGCTTCACCCCCGGGATTCGTGTTTGATGTTAGGAAGCAGGAACTGTATTTGTTCATGTTAATTTAGAAGTAATAACGGTACGATTATGTCGCTTAAGAAATGAAACAATACCTGAAGCGTCCATTTCCCAGTAGGACGTTTGAGATTAAACGTTTAGCCTATGTTCAACCAGATCGGATGTTGACCTGTTGTATTCTATTACAATAACTGTTGTATTCTATTACAATAACTAGTCATGTAACAAATTAGAAAATACATACAATCGCGTAATATCCGGTTCTATAATTAATTTAGACTGAGATTCCATCTCAGTTCAAAGGTTTAGGAATTATGTCTTTCTTAATCAATACGACTAACAGTGGGACATTTGAAATAACAACAAAGTTGTCATGAACTGTTTTCTCAGACCACAAACCTTCCGGTCTGATCGCACGTTAAGGCAATTTGAACACTGGACCGTTTCCTCAGAGTTACTTCCCCTTGCCTGTATCTGATGACCAGAATCACTGATGTCAAGTTATCGTTTTGTTTCATATTACAGTTGAAAGTAACTTCTGTAATATTGACGAAAGTCACGTGTTTTTAACCAGGAAATAATATTTTTTTGCTATAGAAATAAATCGTCTTGCGACATTAATGGATACCCCAAATTATAATTTCAGCTATTTAGACATTTGTGTTGTCTAATATGTTTTAGCGCTTACAGTGAACACAATGCCTGACCCTTTTATGACATGAAAGTAACTTCTGAAATATTGACAAATGTCATGTTTTCTTTAACCAAGAAAAATGTTTAATTATCAAAATATTTCTTGTAAGGTATACCCAAAATTATAATTTGAAACTTGGGCTATTAAAACGTTTGTATTTTCTATGAAAGGGAAATGCATTTAGAGCCAGACCCTTTTCATGACACCAGTTTACTGTTTGTCACACCATACCCTTTCCCTTGTAAATGTATTTACAGTAATCATAAAATACTCCACACAATTCTCAAATAAAGTGTTTTCTCCACGCATGTGTTTGTACGTGATGTTTCAATACAGATCAAAAGTAGAAATGTGGAAGGCGACACCGCGAGTAAAGAATTTTCCTTTACGAATCCCCGCACGTGTGTATATGCGGATTAAGTCACGCGGATATCAAGCCATTTGTAATGTAAAGCCAGTACGGAAATTAAATTGGTTGACCTGGTCAAGTTATTAGTGTAAACTGACCCAAAGTCAATTTGACCAATGACCGAGGGTCCGTATAATAAATTCATCTTCAAAGAAAAAGCCTTGAGCGAGAAGGCGTATATATGTGTGGGGAAATCAACGTGATAATTTATACCGTTACGTTTGTTCACAAACCTCTCTTGAAATAAACATCGCAATCTTTTGAGTGACATTAATGATATTAACACGACAAGCCATCAATCACGGGAGCTCTGTGCTACTATGTAGAAGCATTCACCGTTAAACAGTCATATTTGAAAACATCTGACCTAATAACGAAGGAAAGACGGTGTGATATATAACAAAAACAAAACAACAATAACAAATCCAAACCCCACCCACCACAAAAAAATAACCGCACTTCACTAACTGCATCTGAATGTAATATACAAATAGGGGTTTTGTGTTAAAAATTTATGTTTTCAAACATTTACTGAGATACATATTGTAGGAAATAGTGCGGATGGCATGCTACCGTTGGTACCCACAATAATACTGGGTGTCATTACTAATTTTCACTGATGTTTCAAATTTAAAATATAATATAAAGTTAAAGATTACAAACTTCGGAATGTTATTTAAACGATAAATGGTATTAATACAGTTATAAAATTGGCTTTCTCTTTCAAACGCCGTACTCAGCAACATTCCACCTATGAAGCCTCTGTAAATACTCGGGTGGCGGAATAGGCTTGTGGTTAAAGCGTTTGCTCGTCACGCCGATGGCCCGGGTTCGATTCCCCTCTTGGGTACAATGTTTGAGGCCCATTTTTGGTGTTCCCCGCCGTAATATTGCTGGAATATTGCTAAAAGCGGAGTAAAACAATACTCACTCACTCACTGTAAATACTCGAGTCTGGACCAGACAATCCAGTTATTGACACAATGACAGCGATCTACGTAATTGGGACAAGGTGACCTGCATCAACCAATGCTAGCCTGACCTCTGGATTCCGTTAGACGTAGACTTGGCAATGATACATTGTACTCTTCAAAATGACAACCATAATTGAAGTTTTGAAACTGACGAAAAGACCTATGGAGGATTTTGTTTTATTATCCCGAACTTTCGAACAAATACATGACTGTAATGAACACGGTCCAGCAAGCTGCCACAGCAATAAAAGTCATATAGTCTGGCTAACATTAATATTGTTTATTGTTCATATCAAATGTGATGACGATACTAAGTCGACACTACGTCTCCACAAGCATGTTAATGGGCTATGTACTGTATACACCTCTTTGATAGGTCAATATGGGAATTAATCATATACATACACGGGTCTTTGTCATAATATAAAGGATGGAATGGACAGAGTTTAAAGCACTATGATACATGATGATACGTGATACACAATGATAGAAGGGATTTCGATGGAATGTGTGATTTCCTGTAAAACCGATAGTGAAAGATATCATAAAATCAGTAGACATCAAAATTCAGTAAATGCTTGGGAAACCTAAAAACAGCGTTATGAAACCTCTACGTGCATGTTGTTTTATGTATGTTTGTAGATAGAAGCTACAACATACAGGATGAAGGTACAACATACAGGATGAAGGTACAACATACAGGATGAAGGTATACAGGATGAAGGTACAACATACAGGATGAAGGTACAACATACAGGATGAAGGTACAACATACAGGATGAAGGTACAACATACAGGATGAAGGTACAACATACAGGATGAAGGTACAACATACAGGATGAAGGTACATACAGGATGAACAACATACAGGATGAAGGTACAACATACAGGATGAAGGTACAACATACAGGATGAAGGTACAACATACAGGATGAAGGTACA